ATAGACGGCGGAGTGAGCGAACAGCGGAGCCTCTGTTTTCCCCACGGGTCCCGTGACCACATTTCGACTTCACCTCCTCCCCTTTCATCTATCGACCAGTCTGGATTTCTCGCCTCTTGACGTCTTATTGTGACTCGAATTGTCCGAATCACGCTCTTTGGCCACGGGGCACCAATTGTGCCGAAAGTGGTGATCAAGCTTCCACGTAGCATCTTCGACGCCGCAACTGAGTCATAGAACATTCGCCGCAGTTCCACATACGAAGCCTCAGATGACTCCATATCCTGACCTGGTGACATGCTCAAATTGCGCCATCTTTACCTCTCGGTGCTTTATTCCACTACGCCCGGCACCGCTGCGTCTGGAAATTCTTAGTTTTTCCGTGGCTCGGTCTGACTTCACAAAGCCTCAAATTGTGAATAGACAGCTTGCGCAGTTGCTCGTACCGCCTTCCGGTACTCCTTTAGCAACTTTCCCCAAAGCTTCACTCGTAGAGTACGTCTTGACTAGCTTTCTACTGTCGGTAGATTCCAGAATGTTCGGTGTTGCATAGGCATCGACGGTGCTGCTTCGCATCGCTGTCTCAGGTCAACCGGCACTGTGAGAAGCCCTCCACACTCTCGCTGCTTGAGAAAACAGAGGCAAATAGCAAGTCGCCGTCATGGCCTCAGTCTCTGTCAACTTCCGGTGGCACATTGAAAGGGGCATTTACGTCACTCGGCCTGCCAATTGCTCAAAGTAGAATCCATAGCAGGTCAACAAAACTGTGCGTCGGAATCTCAAGAGTCGAGCCGGGTTTCTAACCCTGCTTGCTCTCGAACTTTCCACGCCTTGAATTATCGTCCGTCCCTCGCACTCGACCGCAGAAACGTACCAACAACGCTCCTCCACGTACCTGCTCACCCAAATCTGAACACCAACGACAAGTCTCTGACGCCTGAATTTGGCTCAGTGCGCAGCACCGCTCTTGTGGCCAAAAGGATCAAACCAGGAAGACATGGTGTACTCTATGGGGTTGCGTCTGACCACATTCATACTCGAGGTGAACATGGTAGATCCAAGAACTGTGGTCTCATAGCCGACCAAAATCCGTTGGAAAGATGAACCATTCGGTAACAAGTACGCTCGAGCATGTTGAGCACAGCCATGACGATGGCATCGGCAATTGAAAGCTTCTGTCCCGAATCTGGGAGAACGCCTGAGCACAAATGATCTCCGCCAGTAGGGGAACAAAGAGACAACTCTGAGCGCTGGATTATTGGAAGATATCGAAAGGCGCAGAAACCTGACGTCCGGCGCAACGACGTGAAGGAGCGGATACTTCGCTCGAACACATGGCAAAGGCAGTAGCCCGATGCGGGTATATTCCCATCCTTTCTCTGTAACTTCGATGGCAACTGCAGTACTCGCCACAAGTTCGCCAGCGGTGCATGCCTAGCTGATCCTTCACTCTCAATATAGACCACTCCCGAGACCTATACAAACACGGCTCGTGGAAGTTACAAGCCAGCTGTTCGGTGCCAAACATGTATGTTTCGTAGCTTTCTTCGCGAGGTTCTTCCTTCCGCCCCAGGGATATCAAAAGGAAGATCGAGATCACGAGCCATATGTCTCGCCTGAATCCATCCTATGCTATGTTCTCGTCATGGCGCATCTGCATCTGGCTCCCGCGCCATTTACTGGGATATCAAAAGTTCCTCCCTATTCACTTTCACGGCGCCTTTCGCCACAAATCTTGTCTTGAACACACAGATGGGGTCGACTCTGGTCTGAAACCAACCCAGATGAAGTTCTGCCGTAGGCTTGAAGAATCTCCAAGCGGCAATTCGGCATTGAATCTCTTTTTCGAGGCGGGGCAGATCTATGCGAGTGAAATGGACCATTCACGACCGCATATGCATTTCGATGTACATGTAATATTTTCGAAAGAGTTTTGCTCTCCGGGCAGTATCCATACATACGTGTGTTATTCGTGTATCCTGCTAGACCCCCCAGGTTTTCTAGCTCGTGTAGTTACTTTCGTTGTCGCTGTTGTTGCTATTCTTTCTATCGTTACCATTACTTCTATTGTCGCTATCGTCGTCGTTCATCGTCGTCGTTCATCGTCGTCGTCCATCGTCGTTATCGTTATTGTTGTCGTCGCTACCCCTATTAAGTTCTCTACTACTGTCGCCCTTATAGGATTCATAGGGGACACTGCCTGGCTAGCAAAACTCCTTCAGAACAGCGATTCGAATGCTTTGTATCTTTAGCTAGAGCATGTTGGCAAAGGCACATACCGAAGAAGCTGGTGGAGGAAATGCAGTCCATGACGTCTGTTAATGCACCGTCCTCCACGTAGAAGCCTCGTGCGCCAGTGTTCAGAATTCTGAGATGCCAACTCAAGTATCAACGCATCACAATCGGTCACGCGACCTCAGTTGTGTATCTCGGCGTAACCTCGATGAAGGTCACTGAGCAGAATTGCATCAGGAGTATATGATCACAACGTCACGGGCCTTTATGGGTCTGGAACCGAGACAATTTTAATGACATATGTTGTATCTAAGAGGAACCCAGCGATGGATGCGTGAATCTGAGCTTGCATAAACGGCATCGATGGTCGTTGGGATCCATGTAGCAACAAGGTGGTAATCAGGAGGCACGGATTGCCGTCATAACAGTTGTGCATGATTCTCAATGTGCACATGCCCCCGATACAGCCGGAAGGATTTCTATCATGCCTCTGTGCTTTGAAGTTGTCAAGTGAAAGATGTCAACATGTGTACTATCGGACATATCTCGCTGTGGAATAACTCTTGTAAACCTGGCAAGCCACTGCTTGCCGAGAACCCGAGAATGATCCTTGATATGAAAATAACCATCTCAATTGATGAGGCTAATCTAGCTTACTCACCCATCACTATTCTGGTGCAAGGTAGTTCTCAATGCCTCGGGCTAGTCTGTGGCAGCATCATACAGGCTCGACATGATCTATATCGCGAACGAACCAAACCCTTCTGCCAGACAATTCATCTTGGATCGAAAGTGTGTGTTGCGCAGCGCCAAGATGAACTAGAAGGCACAAACGCCCGGGTCTCTCTCATCAGTTCCACATCTGGCACAGACGCGCCAGCAAAGATTCCACCTCCAACGCATCGATCTGTACCCAAAGAGATCCCGCGCGTCTGTGGGCTTATCAAGCCTGCCTCTGCTAGTGTAAAGCGACCAAACCAAAAACACTACAAAGGTAAGAAGTCAAGTCTTGGTAAACTTCCATCTTGCCGCACAGCTGAACATGTCACGACATCCCTGGGCACTGCCACCCTTGAGCGGTTCGCCTCCGTCGCAAGGTGTCAACGTAAGCACGCAAAAGTGACCCCAAGGCGTTTTTTCTTCTTTTCTCGTCTGGAGATGTGTGTTCCAAGAAAAGAATCAAGCTTCTTCTTGGTCCAAGGCCGACAGAGGTGTGATGTGCCACGAGTTCGTGGCGAGAATGAAGCACACCGGAGCCAAGTCCGTCTAATAGTGAAACAGCATCATTATCACAGCCACGCAAGATCCGGCCCGTCAGCTGTAAACGTTGCGCGAAGAGCTTCCATCCTTGTGATGTTTCCTTCTACTAGGCGCATGCATTGGAGGGAGGCTTAGAGAATTAATAGCTCATTCAAGCTTCTTCTGAAGCTTTGCCCCCCCAAAGAGCTGCAAGCTACAACCCGCCCCAGGGAAGGCAAAAACGGGGACGGGTATATCTCATCATTTACGCGTTCCGGGCTAGGATCCCTTTTTCGCCTTGACAGGTCGGGACCACGATCCGGGAGCCAGGCGTCTACTTCACCCATCCATACCTGACAGCCGGCCGGCGCAACCATGAAGAACTATATTCGGTGAAGCCTGAAGAGGCAAGATGGCGGTGGTCCTGAAGAAACATTTCCTCGATAGGGTGCTGACGTGAGGCGCTGAGTCACCCATCGCAAAACCAGAGACGAAAGGACATGCTTTCTAACATTGACAAGTCTCCAGATCCCGGGTGCCCTACCCATAGATCAGTATGGCAAGCCGGGGCAGTCCTGGTCGACCTGCTTAAGCACAAGCGTGCGCTCAACCCACACCCCCATGGTAGCAAAGATCTTCCATCCTTTCCAATCCAACCATCCGTCCTCATCTTTCTACTTATCCCCCATTCGGTAGATTTCCCACGGACCTCAGTCACGGCAACGAGATACAAGATATTTATAAATCATGAAAAAGACAAGGTTATCCAACGCCTGTGAAGGAATGAACCGTGCCGCTCGCAACGTCTAGACCCCAAAGAAAGATAGTGGATGGGTGAGTTGCGGGGTCTCCTCGGTGAGTAAAAGCTTTCTAGAGTTGGGGGGGGAGCTCTCAGGAATGGAGGAATTTGGAGATGAGCATTTTGGTAGGAAAAAGATGGGATTCTCTCATGTGCTTGATTTTCTGCCTACCCAAAGTTTTCCCCAGTCCACCGAGCCCCCAACGAGTGTGCAAGTGATCCCCCACCCAAGCTCCTCCCCTCATCTTGGTATCCGATTGCGACAAAAGTAGACGGTTTGCCTTCCCCCTTCAGTCCAGTCCCATTTCGAGCCCTTCATGCCATAAACGCCAGGGTAAATCAGGACAATAAAGTGTCCCAGGCCTGTCAACTCCCGTTTTCGCCATCTAATAATAGAGTAGAGGAAAGAAAACAAACAGAACACACCTGGACCCCTTTCTCCTCCTAGGACAAATGAGAGACGAAATCAGGTGAACACCAGCATCCAGCCACTAAAGAGCCTATCGGTCGTTTCCCATGATCTGCAAAAACCTTCACACGTTTGCCGGTCGCCGCGCCCAATTTTCATGGTATCCGTAAAAGAAAGCAGTGGTTCTCCGTCCCAAGATCGAGAAAAGCAAAAAAAGAAGGAATGCGCGGCATGGATTTCGTTTTGAGGGATTCTGATCGTTTTGTTTGCGCTCAGCCGCTATTATGAATTATTCCTCATGGCAGCGGCAGTTGAAGCTCATAGGGTGTAAGTCTGCATGTCCTGAAACATGTACATGTTGTCGGCGTAATCCATCGCTCCGGGATGGGCAGTCGGCATGCCCATGTGGGCAGACGGATCAAACATCATTGGTGGCGGTGCGGCGGTCGTCGGGTGATGTCGCGGCATCTGGTGTGCCCTCGCCTGCACGCCCCGGAGCTTGAGGTACTCGTCGTGTAATGCCGAGTAGGCCTGGCTGAGGGAGTCGTTCTTTTGCTTCTGCTCGGAGAGCATGACCTCGAGGTCCTTGATGCGCTGGTCCTTGCGCTCGCGATATGCCCGTTGTGATGCTCTGTTCTGTGCTCGGCGGCGCTGCGCGGGGAAGGGGGGCACGTGTTAGCCGGGCTGCGCCTGAAGTTTGTTGCTCTCCCGCTCGCTCGCTCGCTCGGCGGCGAGCCCGCGGGATTCGGGCTGGGGAAAGTGTAAAAAAGCTTACCGAAAGCACGGAAGGCGGGGCATTCTTGTATCTGTTCTCACGCTTCCTCTTCGCTGGAGGTTTGGCGGTGGTGGCAGCGGCTTTCGGATCTGAAGCGGGCTGCGGTGATTCCGTGTCTCGCTGTGAGCTCATTGGGCTGGGGTAGATGCTGGTTTCTGTGGTACTGAAGTCGGGTACGAACGTCATATCGAACTTGACCAGTGTAAGCCGATGGAGATTTGTAGGTGCGGGGCAGGCCAACTTACGTTCGATATGATGGGACTTGTGCTCTCGGATGAGCTAGCAGTGTCCAGATATTGCTCTGCCTCTTCGTAGCCGTAAGGCGCCTCCATCTCCAAGAACGCATCAATGTCGTCCAACATGTTGAGAGGAAGTGGGTGCTCCATTATAACAATTGAATGTCTGAGTGTCTTGTTTTCGTAGGCGGATGAAGGAGTAAACAGGCCGGCTGAATTGGTTTCGTGTGCGACGTCTGGGAAGCTCCAACTCTGGGGCAAGATTGGAAAGAAGATATATATAAAAGTCGGTTTGGGCGACGAGGTGTCTGGCTGTGCGTCTGGAAGGTGCCGTGATGTGTAAGGCGATCTAAGCTACGCCACGGTGATTTGCAACGGGCCAGATGGAATTATATAAGGCGCGCGGCGCATGCGAAAGATGCCCCACTCGACAGTCATGGCCGGGACAGGGAACATGTTCGGAGGGTTGGTAGGGGACCGCATCTACATCCACATCTGCATGTCCATGTGAAAGCTATGATTTCTGGTTCGTAACCACATAGGTAAGCAGCCTCTTCGCAGACATTCTCGAGGGGCCGCAACTGTACATGGCGGCAACGCAACGATCCAGTCGACCGTTGACCCATTGGACCCCAGATAGCGCACCGCTATGTTGCTTAGAGTGCATGGCACCCCACCCCCTTGTTCCTGGCTGGTCCCTGATGTTCAAGGTTGCGTGATGGGGGGTCAGGAAGCACAAGAAGAAGTCGCCCTCCCCGCCAATTTGGGCCTGGTCGAGAGCTTGTAGCGAGCATGGATTGGTGGTGCGGCAAGGGTAGAAGGAACGATTAGACCTGTCTTTGCTGCATGTTGCGCCAAGTCCCCGCCTTAAACGGGCTGCAATGTTGCAAGGGCCCCCGGCAAACGGAGTGTCGTGGGGATGGTGAACGGTACAGACAGACGGTGGTGATGAGGGGTTGATGAGCCGACGCGGCCCCGTTAAGCTTCGAAGCTGCTGTTGGTGCATGATGCTGAGCCCTCTCGCCCACGTCGTCCGGCGGGCGACATGAGATAATTCTCTTTGCCCAGCCGTCGTTTGATTTTGATTTTTAGCCACTGAGAACTTCAGATGGAAGGGTTACGAAAGCACCGCCGCAGCCAAAGAGTAATAGCCTTTCCGTCCTCCAACATTGGATCATCCCAGTCCATGACATGGGGAAATTTTTGGACGGCCAAGTTTTGCGGTCTCGGCTTTTCGGCGTGGCAGATATGATGGAAATGCTTCGCCAATGGCATTTCAAGTAACTTCGCTCCTTCGGGGCCAAACATCGTGTCCGTGGGGATGACTCGCGGGGGTCTCCGGCCGTGACGCCGTTTCTCACAGCCAGATGTCGACTGCCAGATCTACTTAGACGGTTCTCGGAGCTTGATAGAAAATAACGGAACGAAGACAAGAGCTTTCAGTGCCGGAAGCAGCTACTGGCTGGTCAGATGTCGTTCGCAGTTAGGGGAGGGGTTCGTTGTCCAAGGGGGTATTGTCGCTGAGCGAGACAGTCGCAATCCCGCCTTTTTGGATTCGTTTCCCAGCTCTCAAGCTTTATTTTTGATGGTATTTTGGCAGAAGAATGGCGGAGCCCAATTGGGATCTTAGCGGTACCTCTTGCACGCTCCGGGCGTTTGCGTAACCGTCAGCTCCCGTCTGCAAGTCGTCCTCTGTCTCCATTTTCGGCAATTTGAAGTTGAGATGCCCAGCGTGTCAAATACTTGATTGGAGTGTCCGCTAGACCGTATCAAAAGAGGAGGATGCGAGATTGGATGGGGGAAAGCTTTGCTGATTAGAAGAAGACGGTTTGCGGTTACACTTTCCCCGCGCCTGTTGCCCCCAGTCCATCGCGCACCCCGAGCGTAGGCATGTTAAGCCGAGTAGCCATCCAGTGGGTTGACATCAATATTCTTGGGGAAACCACATGGGCCAGCTATGACGACACTGACCATTGCATCTGGTGGACTTCGCGACATCAAGGCTTTCTGACGCCTTGAATCACGATGTTTGCTATTAACACGAGGCAGCAGAGCTTCGGCTCTTGAGGCCCGGTTCGTATGCAGTGCCTTATGAACTGCACTCGTGATGAATGCAGGGCACCGGCGCGCTCTGCACCACTGCGGGCGTTACAGGGGAACGTTGCCTTGCCAGGCTGACCTGGGCTAGACCAGACCTAAGGCACTCCACATTGCCAACAATAGAAGCCTCCACGAGTGCTCGAAGGAAGGCAAAGTCGGTTCCTTACGTCAAGACTCTTGTTGTCGAAGCTTCGCCGCCACTGTCAACTGTCGTCGGAGGTTTTCCGACTATACATCAGTCCGGCTATAGGCCGGAGCTATGGTGAGAAGCTGGGATGGTGCGGGCTCGAGTGGGATCCCGCAAGCGAGCCCCAACTCAATTTCAAGAGGTCTAGGTCCGGCAAAACATGGTGATTCGCCAAACGGTAAAGTCTAATGTCTTTCGTCCAGGAAGTCTTTTGCTGCTTGCGACGCTGAATGGGCCTGTGCTCGTCGGAAGCACTTTTTCAGCTCGCCAGGTCCCACGGGAGTTATGTCGAGGTTGACGAGAGGGGAAAAATGGGATTGTCATATGCCTCGAATTCGGCCAAGCCCCTCTGGATCAATACCCCTCATATCTGAGGATGGACGCACAGGAGACACGGGGTCGGTGTGCGCTGAAGAAATGTGCATATGGTACCGATTCAATCGTATTATCAAGCAACTAAGTGACCGTGTTGCCAACAGCAATCGTATATGTTGGAAACGTGAAGACCTAGATCTTGTGGGCAGTGCGGTTACATGCGCAATGGCAAATGTTCCCAGGCCCGATGCCGTGGAATTCCGCCGCACTAGTGGCCCTAGAAGTCGGGTTGCAACGTGCGGTGGTGGCTGCGGGTTGAGCTTCCCACCAATCGGAAACTCTAGGTGCTCATTCGCGGCATTGTCTCTGTGCCGACTTGCTGTGATATGGGACAATTTGGCCCCCAAGCGATAAAGTCGAGTCTGAGTCTATGTTCGTTAAGCAGCGCACTAACGTCCTCGATCACTGAATGATCCGCGGTCGCGCCGTGCCTAGGTAGCTGGTCCTGAATTGCTATGCTTAAGCTCGTCGGACAGTTGGACGCCGATGATCGTTTCCGCTCCGTCTCGGATCCGGATCCTGGCTGGAGCCCGCGCTCCGATGATGGAACTCCACACCGAAGCCGCCCCGAAGTATTATTTTTTTGCCGCATTCTAGACTTTCGGGAGTAACGGCGTGTACAACCAGCGTCAGACTCCGCAACATCTTTATCAGGCGCCGGATCTTTGAAAGGCGTCCAGATGCTGTCTGCCCTTCACCCATCCGGCCTCTTCTGCCTGCTTTGGGCCATACAGCCCGTGTCAACGGAGTTGTCCGGAGCAGCGTTCCCGGACATTCTGATATCAGCGTACCCAAACCATACCTTACTTCGAGCACAACGTACGAACGTCCCAATGGTATCGTAGAGTCGGTTTTGTCATGCTGCATATACTAGTGCTGCTAGCGTCTCCATATCCCCTGCAGCCGAAATTCTGGGCGCTGGCCCCCGCTGTACGAAGACAGCTGGGTTGATCTAGCCCCCGGCATGCAACACCGCTGTCGATAAATCATCAGGTAGACCGTACCCGTGCCCGGCGCTGATCTAATCATTCAACAAGCGCGGATCTTTCATTCTGGTAATGGGTGGTAGGCCCTGGTCCGAATACCTGGTATGCAACCGGAGCGGGAACACTCAGGCTGGAAGCCAACCGCTTGATTCTATTTTAATGTCTTCTACCCCTTGAAGTGGGCAGTGGACTAGGCTGCGACGCAATCATGGAATCCGCTTCTCGGTGCCGGGCTGGCATCGTGAGCCTTGCCAACTATCGAAACGAATCCTAGCTATGCCAAGGTGTAGTCGACCTGCAGCAACTGTCTTTCGGCAGATTCAATGATTGGAGCGTATATTGAACAGCAAGCAGCTGCATCTCTGTTGAAGTCCTACCCGTATAGGGGATATTGTGCTCGGGCAAGCTTAGACACCGCCAGTCGAGTGGAACTCCGTTGGCAATGCCGGAGCCGAGCCTGCCGTCAGGCTCAGGCCGTTGTTTGCTCTGCATTGAATCGACGAGTTGCGCGGGGACAAATTGAACACCGCCATAGAGTCCAAGGTTGTTCATCTTGCGGTGGGTCTGTTGACAGTTGGATTTAAGCTTCTGCTCAGTCGTCAGCCACAGTGACGTGCCATGCATGTTGCGTGGATATCCATTACTGACTGGACAAGACATACTACGTCTCATTTTCTCAGCTTTCGTATTTGACAGACGCAGTAGGAAAGCTCCCGTCATCCCGTCGACTGCAGCTGTGCCAAGTCGTAAAGGCCGTGAAATGCCCGTCGTGTTTGCAACGTCTCGAAGCTGAGCAGTGGTGACGAAACAGCGTGAGTCTCTTCCCCATCACAATCAACCAAAAACCCCGCTTCTGGTTGTCATGTTAAATTTGACCGGCCCTCATATCCGAAAATCTGATCAGAGTCGCACTGTATAGTCGGCAACATCGAGCCCGTCTGTAATGCTGCCCAAGCCCTGTGGTTTCGAAAGCGCCCCCAGCAAAGGGACTTTTCCACGGAAAACTTGAGAGGGGGCTTGATTGCATCGACTCCCAAACCCTTCCGCTTCAAGGTAGAGCAATCTGGAATTGATCTTGATGCTCTTTCCGAAGATAGAAAATACTGCTGCCTGGAACAGTGCCTGCAAAGAACCAAGTTGAGTTGTGGGATTATCAAGACAACCTTAGTCTATGCAAGTCGTGTAATCTCCGGATGGCGTGTCAGACATGACGGTGGCCGAAAGCACTACCGTCCCGATCCAGCAGCTGCGTGCGATTCCGACTTTCAGAAGCCCCAGCTTGTCAAGATCCATTCGCCTCCAGGCAGACACAATTGACACCCGTCAGCCGACACGCCTAGCAATATTAGCGGTGGCTGGTTGTCTTGCATTCTGGACGGGCCAGACTTATCCCCACAACAGCTCAACTATTTTCTAAAAAGGGTAATTTTTACTGAGCGCCATTGCTGGGGTGCTGGGATGATAATGCAGGGAAATGGACCCATGCTGTCTCTGCGTCCGCTAGCATGCCGAGCCGCTAGGGCCCATCATGTCATTGGCGAGAATCAACTTGGAGTCCGCGTGGGGTTGTGATGACGGCACGTAGCGATGAATATCCGATGAATCGTGACGGCAACGGCCTTTGGTTTTGACAGAGTCATGGATAGGTCCTTTGCTCTTCACACACGGCACAACTCCTTGGATCTAATGTCGTCGAGAAGGTGGAGCAGGGGAACCAGGCATGGGTTCCGCCAACTTGGAGCAGCCTTCTGCGCGCTCTATGTCGAGATTGGCACCTGATTGTCAGGAACTGCAGTTGTAAGAACTCCTGTTCTGCAAGATTCATGCAAAGGTGGTAACTCTGCGTTGAGGCAAACGAATCTACGTCCAGTTGACTCCACTACTGGTCCCCAGGCTCGGCGTGCTCTCCACGGTATGACCTGGTGAGCGGTGGCTCTAACAAATTCTTTTCCAGCTTGCATACACCTTTTTCAGAGATTAGATCGCGGCGAGTCTCAGTTGAGTAGCGCTCATGTCGTCACAGATCCTCGCCAACCATGTGCTTGCTCCCAACTGTGGGAAGGTAGGAACAGTCCACCAACTATTTTCGACCCACAATTGCAGGTGCCTTGTATTGAGTATGAATCCGTAGAGTTGAGTGATGGCGTAAAAGCTGATCCCTCACAGGGTTCTTCTAAATGTAGCCTTATGCAGGGTCCTTGCGGGCGTGAGCGGGGAGATTTTGCGCCGTTGCGCGGTTTTGTGGTTGAGCCCATCCGATTCAGAATTTGGGGTCTCGAAAAGCCGCGAACAGAATCGTCGGATTGGAAGACTACCGTCCCGACACCACATCAGAGCTTCTGTAGTCCAGCCTCAGCTTGGGCTACGCCAGGTTCGAAGCCAATCTTCTTGCTCATCTCTATAGCCTGTTGGAAGCGTTTGCGAGCGTCAATCTTGTTGCCTAGCATTGCAGCAATGTCACCCATGTTCGTCAGGGCAACTGCGCATGCTTCATCGCACTCCTCTGTACGATCGTCGCCCTTCACGTCTTTCGCGTGTGAGTAAGCATTGCGGGCCCAATTCTTTGCCGCCTCCAAAAGTCCTGCCCGATCTGTTGGCATGTCGGGACTGAAAAGGACATCAGAAGTTGAAGGAGCTCCAGAAATAGTTTCGAGAGATGCCTGCGTGGGATGTTGAGCAAAAGCCACGGCCAGGTTGTTCACTGTAGTGGAAAGTCAGCAACACGATTGCATTCTGGTGGGCCATATCCGAAGGACGACGCACTTATCGTAACTCGATGACAAGGGTCGGCACACAGACGCAGGGCGTGGAAGAAGAGAGGCACAGAGAGTTGAAATTGGGATTTGGTCTCGTAGTGATTGGCCAAGGCTTAGGAATGCAATTAGCAAAGTGTGGTCTGCGAGCAATGATTCCAGATGAGGTTGAGGGCGATGAGACTCACATTCCATGGCACCACCGATTTCCTCCGGACTCATCCAGGCACCCTCCTCCTTCTTGACGCCCTCCTTATGGCGTCGTCGGGCTTCTGACAGTGCAGTCTCTACAGCCCAAGTCAAACGAGTCTGCGCATTGTCGGGCTCCAAGACGTGCTCGTCGGAATACAGAGCTCCGAGCTTGGTGCTGGTGCCCACAGCTTTCGCGAGGAGTCTTGTGCGCTTGTGCCACAAGTTCTCGGGGACCATCTCTTCCTCGTCCTCGACAACGGTTGGGCGTTGATCTTCGGACAATACCCTGACCGCAGCCGGTTTTCCGGACTTATCTACCGTGCCCTCTGCAACAGATTTCTCGAACCACTCCACCCACTTGGTACAATCATCCATAACAGAGTTGAGAACAAGAATGGCTCCTTGGTAGTTGCCAATCTTCTCCAGCCAAGCAGCGGTCTGGATCCTGATGCCCAGGACATCATCAGAGAACGGGTCCAACTGAAGCTCATTGCATAGCTCGAGGGCTTGCTTATAGTATTTCTTCGCCAGGTTTGCATCGGGGCTGATATTCGTATAGTAGAGTGCTCGTCTGAGGGCCTTTGCGATTGGTGGAGGGTATTTGGTGAACTGGCGGGCTTGGAAATAGTCAAAGTACAACTTGACAATGTAAACGGCAACACCGGCCAAGCCTGCCAGGCTAGAAAGTTGTCAGCCATGATCCCTCAAGTCACTGCTCACGGGGAACACGACGTAGCTTACATTACCAGTGCTGGTGTCAGCTCTTCTGGGCTTTCCTTGAACAGTTTCTTCATTCCCCGCGGTGTCAAGGCGCTCATGAGATTGCGAAATGACATTAATCGCCATAAGGATCGTATTGGAGGGGGCGGAGGCGGGGATTTGGGATCCGTGTTCTTCTTGTTCGCATTGCTTGGTGGAGTCTTCGCCGTGCTGTTTTGTCTCGATTGAATGTTCCTTAGAGCATAGAGTGTGCTCGAGGGACCTCTGGCACGAGTTGTGGCTGTTGATACCGTAGACAATCGAATGGCTTGACCAAAGCAGACGCGATCAATGGCGCGGAACGCCGTGATGCGGGCAGCCGCCATTGTCGCGGATCTCGAAAATATGCTTCTTCACCGATTGTTGTTGATTGAATCCAAAGCATGCGCGTCGATGCGGGATTGGGTTGGCGGAGTTGACGTTGCAGAATGTGCCGAATGTGACGTATTGGATCAAAACTTCACGAGGCAAATGGTCGTCGTATTAGAAGGACCCAGAGCTCAGTGCTCCTGCTCATGTGGATCTGTTAGAGAAACGCGCAGCCAATGGGAGACGACCATTTACTCCGAGGCAACCCCCCACCCGGATCGTGGGGAAGCTCCTTCAGCATTAGAGGGGCAAATGTCGAGCTTGATCCCCCGCCCATCTTCCTCACCTGTCAAACCAGCTTGTTGTTGCCGTCTTCCGATCAAACCGATACAGCTACTTACCATCAGTGCGAAAACATTCAGTTTCTCTCATCCAAAAATCAACCAAGAAAATGTCTGGAAAGTTTGAGCCCAAGACCCCGGTCGAACTGGCCCCTCCCAAGGACGATCCCATCACTCTCGAGGAGCTGGCTAAGGCTGATGGTAAGTGGCAGAATGGCCGACTTATGTTTTTCGTTTTCAAGGAACATCTCGTATCTCCATGTTTCGAGAGAGAACATCGCATCTTGAGTGATCATTGACCGCACCCGTTGAGGGGCAGTCCGTAACCCAATGCCAGCAGACCGCTTCTTCCCAGCACAGCTCAGATGTTTGCCTACAGCGGACATGTGCCTTCGTTTGGTTTTTTTAATATCTCCACAGCCTCGCAAACTCCGTACCAACGACTTCGCATATGGAACCCATGTATTCTGCGTCATGTACGGGAGTGTACTAATCTCATGTTTCCCAGGTTCCGACCCCAACGGAAAGACGTACGTCGCGATTAAGGTAAACCGACATCTATTTCTCCAGCAATGACGCACATTTCTCACACGGTTTCTAGGGTGTTGTCTACGACGTCACTGGTAACAAGGCATACCAAGCCGGCGGATCCTACAATGGTAAGGATTCTCACACTCGGTATATGGATGCATGCTGACTCTCATTGAAAGTGTTCGCTGGAAAGGACGCCTCTCGTGCTCTGGGAAAGACCTCAACAAAGGCCGAGGATGTTAGCGCCGACTGGTCAGACCTTTCAGACAAGGAGAAGGGCGTTCTGAACGACTGGATCACTTTCTTCTCCAAGCGTTACAATGTCGTCGGCCGTGTTGCTGGGGCTACCAACACGGAATGAATCTTGGGGAGGGGAGAGAGGAGAATTGAGTCAAAGCTATGAGGAGTTCATGGTGGGGAAGGCAGAGATATCCTTCATCATGGTATGAGCATGATCGGGAGCAAGTGTAGACTTTAGTCAGTTCTCAGCCCAAGCATGCTCCAATGACACCGGTTTAAACTTGGTATGATTTCAATGCCCTTTTCCCACTCCTTCTTCATCCTCTTCAACTTGTTTCTTCCCCTTCTCCACGTTGAATGGCGCACCGATTCCAATCTCTCACCTAACAGCGATGCAGTTGAACGTCACCCCCTCTTACGGGTGGTCGTACATCTGCAGACCTCCCAATGTCAAAGCTTATTCGACGATACACCCCCTGTGCGCAGGTCATACCTCAACACGTCGGGTCGCGCACAGCAGCTGTCGTTCAGATGCGATGCCACCGTTGCTGTCTAACCCCCCACTCATACACGCGTTCAGACCTGAGGGGGACAAGCAGGGGCTCGACTGTTTTGATCTACTCCTCCGTTGCGCTTAACTTTGGCTCCTCATCAAGCGGTTGGGTCTAGTCCGTTGCCACGCAGGTAAATACGAGGACAGAAACCTCTCAGCGAGTCAAGAGACGGAACAGTCTCATGTCTGGAATAAAGTGAAAAGTGACGTGTCTCGGACTCGAGGCTCATGCACCGGATATCCTAGAAACATCATCTTGCATCTCAGCTCTCAAATCCCCTTTTTTGTTCTCTTCGTCTTCTCCTCACCTGCAGCTTGCTCTACCCTCCCCAGAAAAACCGTTCCAGTGGAGCCTACCCAACCACTCGTTGTGCAACAGTGTGTACTTGCAGCTGCATGGGCCCGGGTCGCCCGCCAGCTTCAGGACAACAGCTTGTCTTCCTCTTTTGCATGAACGCCTCAGATTCGAAGGATCGGGAGGAGAAAGCCTGCCTGCCTGCCCGTTCCAATGCAACCTTGCGTCTCAGTGGAGACAGCTCACGCACATCCTCTGAAGCCTAGGGACTTCTTGAGTTTCAGGTCTACTTTGAAAACAAGACGCCCATGTGCATCTTCGAAGTGAGAATTATGGGTGGAACGCATTGGCGGTCATGATGGGAGGTCCTTCGTATTCGTCAGGGAACCAGACATGTGCGCCGACTCATTAGCCCGTGGAAGCCTCCCGTCGATGATCTGAATCAATCTCTGATCGAGGAAGCTGTGCTTAAGCCTTCTGGGAAGGGTGGCTGGCACAAAGTGAAAGGGCTGAAGAAAACACTATGAGAGCCTTATGAAAGAGCCCTAACGTGGGACAAGGAGCGGGCCATGGATAAATGCCAGGATTGAGAAATCAAGTCTTAGAGCCAGTAACATTTGTAACATTTGTGCCTCTGATCATATCTCGAACTTGAAGAGTGAACAATACCAAAATATTCAGACTGTCACGTCGCATGATTGGATGACTCTTGAGGCCAGTTCTGGCCCTCTTCACTCCGTGTCAGATTCACTGCGCATTGCATACGTGTAAATTGGATGATTCCTACCAGAAATCGAGATACATGTATCACTACATTCTTGGCTATCTAGCCCGCAACCTATTTTCACACCCCCCCTCGAAGAATAAAGAGGTGCCACTCGAGCCCGACCCTTGAGAAGAAGTAGCTGAGACCCGATGCCTATATATGCAAGTGCGAACACGACATGAATCAAACCAAGCCATCCCGTCTCGATGCAAATGAATCCCGAAAGTCCCTCGCGAACATTTTTGAACGTCATCAACCTCCTCCAAAGTTTGGTGTGCGTCTTGTATGTGAACATGTGAAGGGCTCACTTAGCCCTCTGGTCGCCGTGTCATCCTTCATTACCCAACCATTTAGTAGGACAAGTTCCCTATCTACAATCAATCAATCCTACTCAAAGAATGATTTTCCTTGATCTTCTCTCCGTTCCGAGGTGGCGGTGGCTGCTGATCCCTTCAATGACGATGGCGCTTGCCGCCCACGCATTCTTCCCGGCCGAAACCGGCGGCGAAATGTTGGTGCCCTTGCTGGGACTGCCATGCCGAGACGCAGTCATCGCAAGGGGTACTTTGCTGCCAGGAATTGCGGAGGACCTTGACGCTAAAGCATTGGTGGTTGGGATCGTTGCGGGCGAAGTGGCAATAGGACTTGAGACGGACGATGGAGTGGTTGCAGGTGAAGAGGAACTCCTCAAAGTCGCACATCTTGAACAAGGCTCGGGAGAGATGACGTTAAGGTTAGATAGGTACTCGGGCTTTTATGATATGTTAGCTGTGATCTTGAGCCCTCTTTGGACGACTCACAGTCAATGTTGATTTGGAAGCTTGCGCACTTGAGGTTTTCAAGACTCTCAAAAGCTATGTCTCGCAATACGTGAATTTAGACGGAAGTCAAGTCGACAAATATCAAGGTAGAGAATGATCGAGTTGTTGAGATATGCCTCTGTACTGTTCATTCCTGACATCAGAGATGTCTGGTCTTATATACTTGATATCCTTCACCAGTCGTCGGACGTCGTCGTCAACCTCGATCATCACGGGCGTTGAAATCCGTTTACGTCCAGCTGCAGGTCAAGAAGCTCCAATAGACGCACACAGTATCCTTTGTGACCTGGCATGCAATACCTGTCCGGTCGTCAGTCTCGCATGCAGGCTGGGTCAACGTTGGGGTCAATGTCACTAATTAATCACCAATTTCACGTCCAAGACCCAACAGCTACCCTACGTAGATTAGTTTTTCGGATAGCTGAACATGCAGCTGGGTAAAGGAGGTTGCGCCATTGCCTTTTGACCGGAGGTGTGAGAGGTGGACGCAAGAGCTACCGCACCATGTCGAACCAAATACCTTGGGGCTCAGTCGCGGGGTCTCGAGCTGGTCCATCGGGTCTGCTCTAATTAGCGTTATACTTGAACCACAAAATTGTGTGTAAATTTGCACTGAAACTTGAAATACTGGTTAGTCGATACCTACACACTGGTCAACCCTCGAAGGTCTCGTCCGGGGAACTTTCTCTCCAGAGTACCAACCCTACGACCCCCGCCACGAAGGCAGGTCAAGCCCACAAGTTTTCCCGCGCATATGCTTGCTCGGATATTGGTTGCTGCAATTTTTCAGACTTTCCAAAAGGCTTTTCTTCCTAGAGTCTTTGCTTTTTGATTGCCCATGTCGTTCCTTAAGAGGAAAATGCTTTTGGTGCTTGCGGCCGAGGCTGATGTCTGAGCGTGGATAGTCCGGGCCAGGTCTTGGAAACCTCCGTAGGCTCACCGGTTGTAGATTTCTCTTCGTATTGGCTGCGTGTCACGAGGAGACGTCGAGAACCTGTCGGATTGTGGAGCGTGTAACATACGTGATCCAATCATTCACGGCCACCATTTTCAATCAAGCCACTTGCATCCTTGCGGCGCGGCCCGATAGGTGGTTATCGAGAAAGCCGCAAAGCTGGCCCTTGGCAGGAAGCAAACACGCACTAAAATCGGACAGATGAGTCCCCGGCTTTCCATTGCCAACGGCGCGGGCGGGAGAGGTGTTGCGGATGCTATCCTATTGGGGAGGATGAGGGCCGATGGCCCCAACTGCTCTGGACTAGAGCGCCTACTTATCGTAGGGCAAGCATCATGGCAGGGAAGTCGCACTCGTCACCCAGTGAAACAGGGGACAAGTGATGCCCCCTCTCGTCTGGACGACCCGAAGACGTTCAAACGCTGCAGGTATCCTCCGGAGACCGGCGTACATTAGTGAAGCAAATTTGACGGTGAGGCAAGTCATCGGAAGTGAGGTCTGGACCCGTTGGGTTTTTCCCGTTAGGTGGGGGGCAACACTGTCGGGAAACGACGTCTCCAAACGCTGGAAAAAAGTGACATATCATAATGTGAGTTGCAGTTTAGGCCCTGATTTGCCCTGAGGTGCGTTGAATCTCGGGTGAGTCTCCTCACTTGAGAGATGAGGAATGAGGATACTGTACAGAATCCATGCTGCGGAAAGGGGTGATGAAGAAGAAGGAGGAGAAGAAGCAAATCGAACGATGCGCTGTTCACTTCGCTCAAAGGAAGAAATCTGAAAGGAGTCATTTTTGCGAGTCTTGTCTTGTCCACCTCGATCTGTGTCGCTGTCGAGTCCACATGCAGGCAATCGGGACTTGTGGAGCTGGGAAGTGCGCATTTGCGCAAAGTGATGGAGCGACATAGCCTCAACCTCGTGTTATTGCGCCGCCATGCAGATGAACTGGGAACCAAGTTGCAGAAAGAGCATGCTCTCCTCAGTCGTGACAGATCAGAACGGTAAGACGGTCTGGCGATGTCCAGAGTTTGAAGGGCTGACCCAAGTTTATTCTTCAACCAGTCTACAAACCACGGCGAGCATTGAAGGCAACTATTGCCCTCAGCACTACTTCAGCTGACACAGTGGACGGCTTCTTACAAGTTCTAGACCACCAGACTCATGGCTCCATTTCTGCGAATGGCGTCCAAAGCCGAGTGCCACCTCTCAGGTCTCGGCTTCTTCGCTTCTCTCACGGCCGACTCTGAGTTTTCCACAGGCCTCAGTGGGCCGAGGCGAGGGTCGAAGATGGCAATTTACTGGCGTTGTGATTGAGAATGTCGCAGTGTCGAATGATCGCGACTTTCGCCAACTTTTCTGTTACCGATCCTCATTCGACATTGACACAAATGCATCGGAGTGGGTTGCGGTGTTGACAAGAGCCACTGGGCAGTCCTTTGAAGTTGATGGTGTTGAGACACTGGTGACGTGCCGACCAACAAGTAGAAGAATAGAGAATTGCGAACCACATGCTGGTTTATTTGGTAAGAAAGGCAGACACGACAATTCCCATCTGAGCTAACTGGATTGGGAAGACGTGGAGTCGGAAGTGCCCATCTTGCGCTCGGTCTAGCCATTATACCGCTGACTCAGCTTCCGAAAATAGATTAGCTTGGTTTAATTTCGCCGTTTTTCCCCAACCGTCACCGAGAATATTTCTGACCTTCCGCCAAGAAGCAGGCAACCAACAAGGCAACCGGGCCTGTCTGCCTAACGTCCCGTCGACTTCTCACAATCGTCCGCCCTACTTTGGATGCTGCGCCCCTCGTGCCTCGTGGTTACTCGTCCTCATCCCTCCTCACCCGTTGCCTTTTCCCGCCTGCTGAATGACTTGAATCTCTCTCCTTCCCTCGTCCATGTCGCCTCGTTGATTTCATCGCTCTTCTTCCATTTCGCCCGTTGTCTTTCAGCGATTATCGTCGCGCGACTGCATCATTGTTTTCTCGTCTGGCAATCCTTGTCTACAACCTGGAGAGCCTAACTCGCCGCGTGCTCTTCCGGCCCCGAACGACCCACCACCGACCGGCGTCCAAACGCTATCAAGGTCCCTTATTCACCACGGTCCATCGGCCTTCGTTTCGCCTGACCTACTCGTTCGCAAACTCTGTCGATCCTGGTTGCGCCGACTTGAAGATTCCCGCATTTATTTGGACTGCTGCCTGTTGAGACGACCGACGTCCGATTCCGAGTCAACTACCCGTCAACTAGAGCGACGCATCGGGTACTCCCTGCCAACATTTGCAAGTTGGTCTACCTTTCTGTTTTCCCCCCGGGCACCTAGCAAATGTGCCTTGTAGAGGGTTCGGACCAGTGTCCCATCCATAGGCTCTAATTTTCATCGAAGGAAATGGTAACTGTCTCTTCCGTGGATCTCGCATAGTTTGTATCCACAGTCTCGATGCCGCGGTCCAGCAGGTCATCGGAGCTGCGATGGCCCCACTACCATGGAGCATATCAACAATTGACTAACACAAAGTCTCATCACTAGAAGAAACATAGCCATGTATCACCGGCAACAAGCAGGCTCGGTAGGCAACTCTAAGCCTTACTTCTTACATGCATCCATCCTCAGGCGCGATGCTGACTTTTTGGAATAGTCGCTGCCAACCCCTGATAACGCCAGTCGATCTCCATCGGATTCTATCGACCTCTCTCCCATCGAGGCCATGGCCAGGCCAATGGAAATGGATCAATTCAACAAACCCAGGCTGTCTTCGGACCCCATGGCTGCAAGCCGTGGCCTGAACACTCCTCCCGTGCCGTATGGCTTGATGAACTTCTATGCCGGTGATGATTCGCCATGGGTTGGATTCAATATGCCGGCGTCCGCATCTGCTCAACCTAGTCACCACATGAACCCCGTGGATGTTAGTAGGAATGCCCCCGCGTTTGCTAGTTGGAGAAGCAACGGACAGCCATCAGAGTGCGGCACCATCCCCCAGGCCTACCTGCCCTCCGACTCTGGCTATGAAAGTAGAGCGAAACACAGCATCGTCGATGACAGGTCCGTCTACGAGGAAAACACGGAAACCCAAAGCCTCGCCGGACATATGATGGAATTCAACCCTTTCCCACTCTCAACGTCCACGTTTCGCGACGCTCACGTCCAAGCGTGGCCACCAGCACCGCCAGCACCAGTACAGACCGGCCCTACGGACAAGTTGATATGCCCAGATTGTCAAGCTCTTTGTAAGACAAAGTCCGAGCTGAAGTGAGTTGCGATCCAGTTCTGGTCGTCGCCGTCGTTGTCGATGTTTGTCCTTTCATATACTGACACTCGGGACAGCAAACACAACCAACGACATCGCAAGGCATTCAAGTGTGAGGTTCCTGGCTGCACTCGTAAGGAAGGTTTCGGTACTCCGAACGATCTCGATAGACACAAGAGCAGTGTGCACCCGGAGCTTGATTCGGGTCCTCGTTGGCGCTGCAACATCAGTGCTCAATGCCAAGCAAAAGACAAGTTATGGCCTAGAGCTGACAATTTCCGACAACATCTGAAGCGTGTTCACAATCAGCCTGTCTCAGCAGACGATGATCTCAATCAATATCTCTGGCAGTAAGTTCCCATATGCCTCCATCCCTTGACTCACGTGCGTTGCCGTACGCATCCAATCAACGAGTCTTCTTCACAATCACGGAAATCTGTGGTCGAGATAAGTAGGCTGATCACGTTAGCAGCCCATCCCAAAAGCCCCAAGGAACGTCGCGCACTGTGCAAGAAGATCTTGAAGGCGTAGGATCGGAGCTGTTCAACTTCGGCAGTGATTCTCAGGGATGGGAAATTTCCTCTCCGGAGCAGCCGATGGAAATGGATGATCTTCTCGTCGACCCATCCTTGACGAACATTGACGAGACCAGCAACATTCCGCTTGTTCAGAACCATCATGCTTTTGTCCAGCCGACGCAGATTTCTAGGCCACCATCAACAATCAAGCCCCTCCTTCCTGGCGGACGTACGCGTGATGGTCAGGCCCACATTACTGTGGATTTTCCCAAGAGCCTTGACGCTTGCTCTGATGATCTGAAGGAGTCCCCCATGGATTCCGTCAATGCCATGGATTGCGATCTTGCCCCTAAAGCTCCTGAATCGGAGCCTGAAAACGAAAGGGCCAGCTCACAGAAACCAGCTGCAGGGGCCTGGTCATCTGCAGGCGAGGTTCTCAACGAACAAGACGCCCTCAGAATCCTGGAAAAGCTCCCCAAGGAGGTTATTGCAAAGTTCTTGAAGGGCCAGTCCGATCAGAAGCCGTCACATGAGCCAACAACCAGCATCGAAGCCCATCGTTGCACTAAATTGGGCTGCAGCAAGGCCTTCAATCGCAGATGTGAGTTGAAGAAGCACATGAAACGTCACGATAAGCCTTACGGATGCACCTTTTCTGGCTGCTCGAAGAGATTTGGCAGCAAAAACGATTGGAAGCGCCACGAAAACAGCCAACACTTCCAGCTTGAGGTCTGGAAGTGCAGTGAGAAGCGCACCGACGACGACAACACGCAGACAGAGACTACTTGCGGGAAGGTTTGCCACCGTCGCGAGACCTTCCGCAGCCACTTGCAAAAGGAGCACAAGATGGACGATGCCTCACAAGTTGACAAGGCCCTCGAAGATTGCCGCGTCGGTAGAAACTGCGAGTCTCGCTTCTGGTGCGGCTTCTGTGTAAAGATTATCGAGATCACCAAGAAGGGTGCGAATGCTTGGACTGAGCGTTTCAACCACATTGATAACCACTACGCCGGCCGCGACAACGTGGCCAAGAAGGACATCTCTGAGTGGAAGAATGTAGACCCAGAGCTGCACGAGATAGACTTCGCGGGCTCAGTGGACGATTCGAGTGACGCCGAGTCGTGCGATGAAGCCACTGCTTCACATAAGCCCTCTGGACTCGTCATGAAAAGCACCATGACAAGGAAGAGAGGTGCAGATGACGACAACGACGAACGGGAGCCAAAACGCTTGAAGGACGCTCGTATCACACAGAGGTGGAACTGCGTACGTGCTCTCCCAATGTACCTGCCGCAAACCATGCTGACCATTGACTAGTGCAATTGCTCTCACGATTTTGACATTAAGACGACCCCTGCATGCATGGAATGCTCACACCAACGGTGCACCCGCTGTGAGGAACAACAAGTTCTCGTGCGGTAGGATGCTGGCATGTTGGACGGATTGTCTCTTCTCAGAGCAGTTGTCAACTCTACGATATCCTCTTTCTTTCCATCTTTCTCTTTATGATCAACGACTATAGGATTCTGCTATAATAAGGCTACGCCTCGGACGGAGTTACGGGGAACGTCAAGAAGACGCAGGGAAGGAATGCCAAGAACGGCATCGACGGGAGCTCGAGGACACAAACAAACAAAACATACAGATATGATATCCCCTTTTGGACAGAATCACATTGCGCAAGGAGCATCCCTCGTTGCCTTTAGAAAGCACCGACAAGACTCTGGCTGGCAGTGCCCGCCAACGTTACATGAACCTCTGCAGCATTTCGTATTGTGAAGATGATTAATACAACATGATCCTACCTCAGAAGATGTAGTCACAAACAATATATGCAAGCGAGACAACCAAGCTGTCAGAAAATCGTCCGACCGCAGGATGCCGCGGAGCCAGGTTACGGTCACCGCAACCACGCAGGCCCTGCCGCCCCCCATCCGACTTCCCACGTGCCCTTGCCCCTTCGTCTCCCACATTGAAGGAAGATCAGGAAGCGTAAGCAGAGCCCCTGGGTGCCCTGACATCCCATCGCACATATGTCGACGGGAGGCGCGGGTACGATTTCCAGGAAAGAAGCACCGAGGGAGGGTCCGGAGCACGACGACCCAACCAACCGCGAGCCGCGCCACCATCCCATCCCATCCCATCCCCAAAAAGTCTTTGACGGTAGTGTCCCGAGACCTGGGGTTCTGGATTTCGTTTCTTTTTTGGCTTAGGAGGGGGGCGTTTCCTTGGTTCACGGACCGGTGCCTAGAACGTCCTTGGCCCTGGGTGCCAGCCATGGTTTTGCGAGCCCAAAGGCTGGAGTCGCGGAGACGCTCTCTCTCTCTTTCTCTCGCACCCACACCCACTTACACACACCCAACCACTCACACACAAAGTGGTTATAACACAACCATCTATTATTCCTTCCCAGCCCCTGGGTCGTCATTTTGGGGGCCGGGTCAAGGTCAAGCCAGGCGGAAAGACACAGTCACTAATTGGCTGGATGTCCGAAAGTCGAACCACCTCTCTCTTGTGGCATGGCATGAGGTGGCCGACGCCGTACTACTACATTTGGGGGCCGGAGAAACAGAGGGGTGGTAAGGAGGCAGGGCTGGCAGGGCTGGCAGGGAAGAGATGCGACTGGTAGGCAGGGCAGGGCAGGCAAGCCGTCAGCAGTGCGCATGCAAACATGCTTCAGATCAAAAGGCGCATTCGATAACGATGAGGCTATGCAGTTTGTTTTTGTTCCTCAGCCACCCCACCCCTCCCGGCGGTGGTTTCCCAGCAGCAGCCAGGGTGTTGCGGATGTCGGTGATGATGTCCATCGGGGAGGTGAGGGGGAGCCAGGGACCGGGGAAGAGGAGGAGGGAGAGCCAGAGAGCGGTTATCAGGTATCAATGGATTTGCTGCAGGCCCTGGTGGTGCGGCTGAAGAGGATGTCCTCATCACGTTTGACGGCAGTTGAAGATTGGTGGTAGCCGGTGTGATGGTATCATGTTGGAGGTGGACTCGCAATTTCCGGTTCAACTCCCGTGTTGGTACGGAGAGTTGGTCGTCGGGGCCTAGAGGATGTTGTCAACCATTCATGGTTCGACAACAACGATGCTGCGGCCGCCGATGCGGGCGGGACCTGACATGTAAGCTTGAATGCTGGGACAGAGCCTGGGGTTTCGGTCTCTCGGCAAGGGGAAGCGAGTGTCAAGTTGAGGGCCAGAATCGACCACCGGGACAAAATGTAGGTGCCTTGATGACACTTTGAAGAGGGATCAATTGGCGTCAGCCTGTTGATCTCGTCGGCGGGTCTCAGGAGAGACCACTTTTTCAAACCCGGCCATATCGCGGGCGTGAGAGCCAAGCCATGAATCCCATCGATCTGTTATTGAACGAGTTGGGTGGTTAAGCCAAAGGTGCGCTAGGATCTCAATCCTAATCTCTAAGGCGCGAAAACATCCTTACACCGTGTGTACTCATCATTTGTCATCTGTTGTCGTTAGTTCGCAAAAGACCAGCTTCGTGTAATGGGTTATGTACGGAGTAGTTGCGGAGTAGCCCTGCCAGTATGTTGGGCCCTGGTGTGATGAATGCAACGCGCTTCTGCTGGGTCCGTTGATAGAGCGTGAAGGCCCAACTAAGGCTTGCATATGTATCGGCCACTCCGTGCGGCACGTATGTTCCAGGCCAGAAGGATTGTTGGAAAGAAGACACCTTTGGAGGAAGGTGAGTTCTAGTGCCGTTACCGAGATGCTGGAATCCAACACGGGCGTGTTTTCTCTTCCTGGCAACTCTCCTGTGTTTCAACCACGAAGCGAGGCCATTTGGTGGCCCGGACAACAACACACCCCGCCTTACTGGGCGGTAGCTGGCCGGAAATCCAAGATCTGTGTCTTCCAGTGATCTGCCGACCTTTTGAGGGCAGGGCTAACGGGCCAGAAGGATTGGTCTCAGAGCAAGACACGCAGGTATCCAGCGACACAGTCCACACAGGAGACTTTGACGCCATTGGCGACAACCAAGTCGGGGTGTTGGGTCGTGAGCGCGCATTTGTGCGTTGAATGTTGGAATTACCGCGCACTCCGCGCGAGTTTGCGCGCACCAGTCTCGACCAGGTTCGCGCACTTTGCACCATGGGTAAAGACACACACACCCCAGACCATGCGACGACGACGCGTTTGATCTTGATATGAGACATATGCCCATGATGATCGGTTGAAGACATTTGCAAACATGCCCAGCGAGCATGCTTGGCTTTCGAGACTCCACAAGATCCTGACATCTATCGCCCTTGCAGCCGATGATCCATGGGTAGTGGATGGGCTGGCTTCCGCCCGCATCGTGGTTGCGCCTACGCTGCGCGGTCCTTTGACAACCTGGCAATATGGACCTGGTTCGCAGGATGGATCAAGTGCCCAGGGCTCAGACGGAGGCAACGCTTGGGTGAGGGGGGTGCTGCAGAGGTCAAAATAGCCGCCTGCCTTGCCAGGACTGCCGCACCTCTTTTGATCTTTGCGTTCAGCTATGCCTCGACCGGCCAATGGCAGTGAGATTGACTGGCCTAGCTCCAGAGGTTGGGGTCCAAAACCAGGGGCCTTTTATCGCAGCAGAGATGAAGCTGCCAGGAAAAAAAAAAGGTAAGACAGTCCAGCATTGGACGCCTAGATCGCGTGGGTGACCAGCAATCCGGCAGGCAAGCCTACTTCGTGTTAGTCCCGTCTGCCCACCCAATTGTGGATGAAGCGCAGACGAGCCCCTTGGCTGCTTGACGCGGGAAAGATGTGGCGGCGATTTGGAAAGTAGCGAAAATGTTCTTCAGAAGTACCTGCCGGGGAAGTAGGTAGCACGGTCGCATCGGTTCGCCAGATGGAAATGATAAGTCAGGTGGGAGAGCAGGCCTAGGTCTGCACGTGGCAATTAGTATGGAGTCCATATCAATATCAATCGCTGGTTCTTGCTCCGCGCGCAAATGTGCGGGCGGTCGACTTGGGGCGCTCAGAATGGCTTCGGCTCCAAGTGCAACGTCAACGGTGCAACAGGATATTATCGGTGATAACGTCTGCTCTGCAAGTCTCCACGACGAAGCATGCGCAGGTCTTCTCGCAAGTCCGACAGAAGACAAGGGTACCGTATCCCCGGAGCTGCAAGTGGTAGGGTTGATTTGCTGACTTGTCTGCCTGATCCCATGGGTCGACGGTTCCTCTGATGGTCGCCGGCCCCCTCTATTCGCACAGGATTCAGCCACTAAACAGGGGCGGAAGCAGTACCCAGCCAACGAGGACCCAGTAAGTCGGGAGGAGGATTTAGGGCATGATAGGTCGTAAAAACGGATGGATCAATGGCCTGTCTTGGCCTGTCTGTAGGTAGTGATATTCGTACGTACGAATCCGTACTTCGTATCTTGCTCTTCGGGACTGACGGGCTTATTGTGGTGCTAAGCGTTTATAGCTTCTGAATAAGGCACGGGTTGCAGGAGTGGAAATGGAGACACACGCCATTAATGCAGTGAAAGGGTGAAGACGCTGCGCGCTGCAAGAGAAGTGACGAAGCGGCGGTGGAGGTAACAATTTGGGAGCTTGGTGCCGCAGAACGGGACCCCGACTCCCCGTTGCGGTCGAGGCCGTTGATGCCACCCAGGCCCTAACCGTGTCGAGAGATTCGACACGACGACTTTTGCATGTTGACGCGCCCGTTGAGGCATTGATAGGCATGGAAAAGAGGCCCGTCATCTCCATTACGGAGGTATCCGTCGTTCAAGGAGACCATTTGGGCGATTGAGACCTCATTTGGTACTGTTGAGGGTTCGTCGGGGTGCTGTCGGGGTTTCGAACCGCAGCTTCTCCTGTTCCTCGCTCGCAGAGTCCGTGTCCGCGTGGGCACCAGTGGGTTCCGTTCATCTTCAGTCCGTCCAGAACGGGGAGCAGCGAATACAGTACAGCGTCTGGTATGGATGCTGGACGGTTGGCGCGTGGCCTAGCAGGGGAACAAGAGGTTGAGGTCGCACAAGGGCGACAGGGGCTGGCTGTTGGACATGGCCCAAGAGGCCGAATCGATTGCCTCAATGGGCGTCGTAGCCAGGGCCCGAACCGGGACTGCACGGGGCGCCAGACGGGACGGACCTCAGATGGTGGAGGAGGTTTAATGAATGTCCTTTGACAATGACAGGCTACAGCTCAACGCCTCGGCGCATCGTGAAGGTGTCCAATGGCGCGGGTTGGCGGTGATGGCTGTCTCGTATGTACTTTGGAAAATAATTCGTCAGATGGATGGGATGGCCTGGACAGCAGAGTACCGTACCCGAGCGATATGCAAGATGGGGGCGGGCGGCGACCGGCAGGGAAGAGAAGTGAAGTTGAAGACTTATTAGCTTGGTTGAGTTGACTGCCCAGTGACTTAGGTTAATGACGAGTGGCGTGGCTAGGAAGGCGAATTCTGCCCATTGAAGACGG